AAATCGTTGCTCTGCTACACATAGGCTCACTCCATTTGATCTTAATGAAGCATGGCCACTTTCTGTGTTCCTGCATTTAATTTTACTTTCTGTGTGTGCTAGTTTCACCTTCCCAGGGATAAAGAGATGCGTGCATTCCAAAGAAATGAATCAATAAAAGAGGAAAAACATCTTTCTGGTACCAGACTAAACATGAGACAGAGGAAAGAGAAGAGAGAAAACATGGGTGAAAGACCAGGGAATCGTAAATCATAAATCAGGACAATTTAGGTCTGTTGTTTTTAAGTCATGGGACTTGGGTAGATTTGTATGCTCTCAATTGCATAATCTATAAAATTTAAGAGGCGATTTTTATAACCTAACTTAATTTTCTGTTATGATAGATACATTTTTAAAAGACTGCAAAGCTTTGAAAAAGCTCATATTAGGAATCAAGACCCTTGTTCTAAGTTGTCATTGAAGATTGACAGTTGCTTCTTAAATTTCATGCTGAATAGTAACAAGCAGGGCGATTTTGCATCTTAGAACAAGAGAAGATCTTAAATGTTCTTAGAATCAGTGGGTATAGAGGTTGATTTTGGGAACAATGCCATTTCACTTTATTAATTCCTATTTATCCATTCTTCTTCACCCTTAGCTTGTTTTCTTAGCAGAACTGTCAATTAAGCAGTGTGACATTATAACCTGCATGAGTTCCATCAGCATTTGTATTTTTGTGCGTGTTTCATGTTTACCTCTCCGTTCCTTTATACCCTGAGATAGCTTCTATGACCAGTAATAGCTAGCTGATTCTGAAGAATGGATATTTGCTGTTTTCTGTACTCTTTCTAAGAAAGTTATGGAGTAGGTGTCATCTACATTATCATCAAGCACTTTGTCTTAGGCCACAGTCAGTGAAGGACAGAGTCAGGATTCCAATGTTCCATTGTTTTACCATCTTTTTTGTCTTAGGAGGCAGCATGGCACAGTGGTTGTCAGGATTGATAGAAGCCTATTAATTGGTTGTCAGGATTGGTAGAAAGTCCTATATGACAGGAGATGTTTTAGGCACTTTGTTATATTAACTCCCATAATTACCCTGCACCACAAATCTACAATGAAAGTGCTGTTGGTGTCCCTGTGAGGGATAAAGAACTAGACACAGAGAGGTAAGGCATTTCCGCAGAGGCACACAGCTGGTAAATGCCGAGAGTTTGACTTTGGACCCGTGAGTCTGGAGTATAGTCAATAATGCTTGCTTTACGCTGTAATACTCCACAACCTTTCTCTCAGGCTCTCATTCTTTCCGGAGAACTTTGATGATATCTTGCTTTTTAGGACAGCTGTGTTTCTGGAATATTTTCTGAATCAGTTCTAATTAATTAATTCATACATTCTGATTTCCTTGCCAAATGAAGAATGGATTCTGTTGGTGCAAGACTAAAGTTGATGAGGTAGGGAAAAAGGGGCTGTGGGTTGGTAAGGAAGACAATGGTTATGGTGAGAATGTGTTGAGTTGGATCATCTCATCTATCAGTGATGACATGGCAAGAATAAAGAAAATGTATTCTTGTCTGAATGAAGCTGAGAATTTAAATCTCTCTCTCTTCTCCCTGTACCTGTGTGTGTGTGTGTGTGTGTGTGTGTGTGTGTGTGTGTGTGTGTGTGTGCATGCTTCAAGGCATGTAAGTGGAGGTCAGAGGACAACTTTGGAAGTTGTTCTGTTCTTCTCTTATATAGGTCATTGGATAGAAATCCAGGTTCTCAAGCTTGCTTGCAAATACCTTTATCTACTGTGCTACCACACCAGTCCTGTTTTGTAATTTTATCCATGTTTTTATTGTCCCAGAAATTACTTTATCTTCTTTCTGATGTTCCATCAAGAAATAATCCAGGCACCAACACCATTACGAAATCTGTTCATGTTTTGATAGGATTTTTGTCTTATGATTTCCCAGAGAATATTTGCAAACATACTCCAGTCATTATTTTATTGCATTATAGCTGAGAGTGTTTTTGTTTGTAAATCTGATCACCTGACTTATAAGCCTTGTTGTGTTCAGAGGAGTAACATAACTGGCTGCTGTAATTTAGTGTTTGTATGTATCCCAAAAGTTCAAGTGCTGGATGATAGTCTGGCCCCAGTGTAACACTCTCAAAAGGGGATGAGACCTAAAATAGGTGGACCTTAGAGTGGTCTTTGAGTCATGACTGCCCTCATGAGCAGTTAATGCTCATGAATCTTGAAAAGTGGGTTAGGTCTCGCCAGTGTGGATTAGTTTCTGCAAGATTGGGTTGTTATAGAGGAGTAACCTGAGCTCTTGCTTTCTTGATATGTGACCACTCGCTGTCTCATATGTTCCCATTATGTGATGCTATCTACTGTGTCATGAGGTAGCTAAAAGACTCACCAGTGGTAACCAGATGGGACTGATTATGGACTTTCAGTCTCCCAAACCCATGTGTTAGAATTTTTTTTTCCTTATAAAATACCCAGCCTAACGTGTTTAGTTGTAGCAGTGCAAAATGGACTAAGACACTAGTATAAAGTAGCTATCTATAAATATCTGTTTGGTAGAGGAATAAATAAATACAGATCAAATTTATCTGAGAGAGTTGGAGCTGAAACATCACTGCTTCATGAGATTTTGGGTTTTTTTGTGGTTTTTTGAGACAGGGTTTCTCTGTGTAGCTTTGTACCTTTCCTGGAACTCACTTGGTAGTCCAGGCTGGCCCCAAACTCACAGAGATCTGCCTGGCTCTGCCTCCTGAGTGCTGGGATTAAAGATGTGCACCACCACCGCCCGGCTTGCTTCATGAGAATTTAACTGAAGGTCTTTGGCCTTTGAGTGATGAGTTGTGTAGCTAAGGTGATGGTGTAACTGTTTTGGTGGAATCCGAGGATTTTACTGTCTGTGGATCTGCATGTATTAAGATAAGGGGTATATTGCTGTGGGACGGTCTGTATGTCAAATTGCTCTGATTGGTCAATAAATAAAACACTGATTGGCCAGTGGCCAGGCAGGAAGTAGGTGGGACAAGGAGAGAGGAGAATTGTGGGAAGCAGAAGGCTGAGGCGGAGAGTCACTGCAGCCGCCGCCATGACCAGCAGCATGTGAAGACGCCGGTAAGCCACCAGCCACGTGGCAAGGTATAGATTTATGGAAATGGTTAATTTAAGATAAAAGAACAGTTACCAAGAAGCCTGCCACGGCCATACAGTTTGTAAGCAATATAAGTCTCTGTGTTTACTTGGTTGGGTCTGAGCGGCTGTGGGACTGGCGGGTGACAAAGATTTGTCCTGACTGTGGGCAAGGCAAGAAATTCTAGCTACAGTATATTTAGGTTCTTCTTCTCCACCTGAGACTATCTTAGTCACAGGGCTGGAATTTCCTGTGGCTTATCATCAAGGGTACTTTTGTTCCTGTCTCTCTCATTTTTCGGACCAAGAATCAGTTAATTTGGAGTTATCTTGGAAGCAGTGCCCAGAATCATTTTCAAGGCTGTGAAAAATTCCCCATGTCTGTCTCAGTAAGCTGTGGTAATAATTAGAATTGACACAGAGCCCTGTTTGGGACTAGATAGAATCTGAAGTGCCAAAACACCCAGAGCCTTTCATTTGTTGACTGGAGTTGGGCCAATGACTTTGATTTGAGCTCTGTATTAATTAGCATGCAGACTTAGCTGCTAAAAAAAAAGTGAACCCCCAATACTTTTTGTGTCATAACCTGGAAATAGGTGGAAATTTAGGATGTGTAAGAAATTTGCTCCCCAAGATAATTTAAAGACCTCGGTTCTTTTCAATTTATTGTTCTCCTATCGCTGAGTTGGCTATCATTATAATACATTAGAGCCACCTGCAAGGTATTGCCGATCTGGTCAGGCCTGGGTCTGGAGAGTTTGTGTTTCTGACTTTTTCCAGAAGATGTTGATATTTCTGGTATACAAATAGCACTTTGAAAGTCACTGATCTGTGTCTGGTTCTTGAATGGAACGGGCTTGCATGCATCTTGACCACATTACAAGGGACTATCTGGGAGGAGGGCAAAGCAAAAGAACATCTTTATCTGTTTTGTAGACTAGTCTCAGAATACATGCACCTTTCTTCTACTCACAGTCAAGTCTATTGGAAAGAACACAAGTATCTGAAAGGAAGCCTGGTGAGGGTAGCTTCAGTTAGTAGGCCATCTTCCCAGTGAAAATGTGGGACTCCATGACCAACTGGTAGAATGGGAGAAGATACAGCTTTTTACCAACCATACTCATATACTAGGAAATTTATGTAGATGTCTTTAGTATGGAGATACGACACCTTCTGCAGGCTAAGAGATAGTCTCTGAAAACTTGAGAAATGACCTAGACCCAGGCTCCTGGGCGAGTCCTCAGAAGCCTGAACTTGCAGGTCAAGATCAGTGACTTTCTTGATTTCCAGACTTTCCTTTTCTTCTCGTCTTAGACCTCTTGAGCCCATGCCCCATTTTCTTCACAGTTGATACTGCAAGTGTTTCCTTACCATACTGTTGTTAGTTGATTGAGTGGGAATAAAATTCTTTTTGTTATTATGGGTAGATGACCTCTGAAACCCATTGCTCCAACCCCAAGTGCGACTTTTAGAAACACCCATGAAATTGTTTTAACCTCCCAAACTGCCTTGCATGGAGACTGAAGGAACTAAATTCCATCTAATGAAAGGCTTCCTGGGAATGTAATAAAATGGTCCCTGATGTGTATTTCACTTACCTAAGGGTAAAAACTATCATGTTTGCTTTCATTAATATTCTCAGCAACAGAGACTACATTTTGTCAACCAAAACCTACAGAATGCAAAGGTTTTTACTATCACCAAGTATTGTTAAAGCAGTATTTCTCCTATTTAACTCTCACTTGCTAAATTTTCATGGCGCTGAGTTCTAATTCTATGGAAGTTGTCTGAAAAATAGTCTGCTTCTCTTTTTTTCTGAACATCTGTCTTCATAAGCTATCAAAGCCGAGCCTAACATTATCCTCCCTGAACTCTGCAGATAAAACATATTTTGAAGCTGAATAGCATTTTCATCTAAGAGTAATGTTGAAGATCATTCCCTGAAGTCACCAGGTCTTACTTTAAATCCAGGATCCTACTGTGAGTACCTGAATGCTTTATTTGAACTCTCAAAGTTTTCACTTGATAGAGCGGGGATACCAATGTTATACTTTATAGAAGAGCTGTGCTGAAGAATGGTTATTCTGACACTTGCTAAAACTGCAAAGAAGTCCTGGTACAAGATTATTGTAATATAAGTCATGCTCCTAGCAGCAGAAAGTGACGGAACTTATTCGGAATACAGCTGGCAGCTGGGGTTTATAGCCAAGTCCAGAGAGAAGGGAACAGTGAAGAAAAAAATTACTAGGAAGAACAGGGAGGTTCTTGTTAAATTGGTCTAGTGGGATTCTTGATAAAATCAGGTCGATAATTTCCACATCAAGAGGAGGAGATGATGAATTTGAATAGATAGGGAGGGTGGGCACTTTCTCATTAAATTGACCTAGTAGGATTCTTGTTCCATCTGAGCTAGACTGAAGCAGACTAAGAGTCAGTGTCTAGGACTCACGAAGAGCACTCAGGGGAGCCTGATTAAAGTTTGGCTAAGGAAAGATCTTTGTCATCTGAGAGACTTAAATTAGGTATTTCATTCTCACTATTCTGTGTATCCCATTGTTTGACTGTGCCATTTCATTATAACATTACCACGTTAGGTAAGTAAAATGCTCGTTAAATGCTATTACTCTTAAAATTAATAATGATTACTCCTCACTGGTATTTTATGAGTATTTATATCTTATATATTTCAATGTAAATAATTTCTCCATATCCTGTATGTGTAAATAGATTGGAGAAATTATTTACATTGAAATCCAGAACAAGTACTTCTTAAGTTTTCTGAGTTTACCAACACAGGTTTTTTTTTTTGGTTGAAGCTGGTTCCCTGGTAAGATGGAAGAGACAGCCTTAGTGAATATTTTGTGTTATTTTGTGTTTCAAAACCATTCCTGGAGATCAAGACATGAAGAGGATTTATATGCATCAGTGGAAGAGATTAATAATGATAATAATAATAATAATAATAATAATAATAATTAATAAAAACTGCAGAGAAAGCAAGTTTTGAGGTCAGGTCAGAGTCATGTCCAAACTTGGGCTCTTTGTAAGAACCTGAGGTGGGAGGATCAGGGCTGAGGTGTCAGAATATGTAAGTGTCAGAGGACTATCAGACAGAGTGAAGTGGCAAGCTTGAGGCAAATATCTAAATTCCACAGCCACTGGATCCTGGGGATGCAATTTTGACATATTCAGAGACAGCAAATTGAGTGCAGACTAGATCTATTTAAATATGTCATAAAAGGCAGCTACGACTAAATTACATTGGAGTAGAAAAGAGAAATAGTCTAGGGTACCTGAAACCCAAAAGATATGGTAGGTTACCTTTTTTTCATATTTCATTTCCTGTGGCTCTAGCTGTTTTTCTCTCCCTCTCCCTCTCCTCTCCTCCCCAACCCTCCTCTCCTTTGTTTTCTCTTCTCCCTCTCCTCTCTGCCCTTCCATTCCCTCCCTTCCCCTTTCTCTCTCTCTCTTGCACACACACACCCACACACACCCCTCCCTGATTCACATCTTCTAGAAAGGCCAGTATTTTCCTCAGTTGCAAGAAAGAACGAAAAGAAAAAGGCAGAGAACATTAGGTAATTCCATCAGTGATGACCACTCACTGCTTGCATTTTAGATGCCTTGGTGTTTCTCTGATGCTACGGATACCTTCAGATGCCATAAGTCTGTCTTTCTCTTCTTATCTCTCTCAGCTGATGTGTCCTCTCTCTGTTGTTTATTTGTTGTCTTCTAGCGTGGGACATTTGTTTTCTAGTCCTTCACACAGATTTGTGATTATGAAGGATAGAACCTAAATAATGTTTAATCTGTAAGATTACATTTTAAGTTTTTATTGACATATACATATAAAAAGCAGCATGTATCTTACACATACACACCACTGAGGTTTCTAAAAGGCAACATTACCCATGAGCTAGTATCTCACGGAGAGGTTGCAATCAGCATCCCAGAACCTCTGTCACGTTCTTTTCTTCTATTCTTTCCTGTCACTGTCGTGTTCACCAAAGACAACTGAGTTCTTATCTCTAATTTTGCAACTTAGTTTTTATTTTCTTTTTATTTTTGTATTTTGTGAAAGTGTAACCATACATCATATATTCTTTAGAGTCCCTTCTGGCTTAATATGTTTATGTGACTAATCTTAATGTCAACTTGTAAAGGATCCATTCTCTTTGCTTTGTATTCCATTGAGTGACTATACCAATTTATTGGTCAGCTGCCATAGAAACTTTGGCGTTTGCTTTTTATTACTATTTTGATAATATTTTTTAAAAACTGAATCGATAGCTTTGCTATTTAAATTGGGATGTCTGAGGCTAGAGATATGACTCTGTGAATAAGGGCTGCCCAAACATGAACATGAGGGCTTGGGTTTCTATTCATCACATAAAAAACTGTAATCTCAGAGCGGGGAGATGGGCACAAGAGAATCCTGGGGGCTGATTGGTGAGCCAATCTAACTGAATTGGCCAGCCCCATGTGCTGTGAGAGATGCTGTCTCAAAACTCAAGGTGAAAAATGATAGAGGAAGAAACCTAAGGACAACCTGTGGCCTCTACACATGCCCACACATATACCTGTACACACTTGCATTCACCACACATAAATGCACACACACACACACACACACACACACACACACACACACACACACACTGGGAAGTGTATTTATGAAGTAGCACATTTGTAGCAGAAATTGTCTTGTTGGTAATGTCTGAGAACATAACATTATCCTCTTCTCTAACTGATTTACCTTTGGTATTTTTTTTTTTTTTTTTGGTTTTTTGAGACAGGGTTTCTCTGTGTAGCTTTGCGCCTTTCCTGGGACTCACTTGGTAGCCCAGGCTGGCCTCGAACTCATAGAGATGACCTGGCTCTGCCTCCCGAGTGCTGGGATTAAAGGCGTGCGTCACCACCGCCCGGCACCTTTAGTATTTTAACCTTAAAGAAAGTGATGATTTTAACATGCTGTGTATATGATTTCCTTCTAGCATTACTAAGTAGGGTTAACCACTGTTTATCAGGTTCATTCTTGAAAGAAACATCAATGACTTGTTACAAGAGCTCATGAGTAACAGAATATGTCTGGACAAAGGGAGCCAGAGCTTTAACTGGTTGTATAATATATTTTGTAAAATTTCATTTGAATTATCATGGGGGGAGGTTTAAAAGGGTACAGTATTAGAAAATTTCAAAATCTATTTTTTAAAATATATGTAAAACTATTATTTAACTAATCCCTATCACAAAAGGCACTGTGATGATTCAGACATAAAAGTGGCATATACTATGATTTTATCAAGGTGATTCTACATCCTTTAATCATGTTCACAGTCATGCCTGCCTGCGTGCTAAACACTGGTTACCAGAAATCAATGTACAACATACTTGTTCAAGGCTCTCTACTTGAGTTAATGAGCTAAAGAGTTTATTTCATGCTCCAGTTCCACAAATAAATGGACACAATACATAATGTGATAATTCCTTATTTCTTTGGAGTCTATTCTATTGTGTATAATGAGTGTAAAAAAAAGTGAAGATACAGTTTAATCATGCATTATCTTAATGTGACTTTACAGGTTAGATTATGAAACATTGCTGGAATTAAAATGTTTGCACTGAAAGGAATAGAGTTGCTAAAATTAAGCAACAACTGAAAGGGCACCATGAAGAGCTGTAAATAAAAGCTCATAATAGGCTTCCTCTTGTTTTCACTTTAATTATCCTCTTGAGCAAAACTGCAGTTGTTTTCTGTGTTTATATGCACTTACAAATAAAATTTATTCTTCTCATTAATTATCATGGTATGCTTCAGCAGTACCTAAATTGTAACTTAGCTTTATATATTTAGTAGCCACCCTTCACTCATGATTTACCTTTCATAGTTTATTGTATAGCGTTTGTTTTGACCAAGAACAATCTGTAGGATTAAATAAGTCTAACTCTTTATAACTCATCCCATATGTAATACTTTGAAATCTAAACTCTGGACTTATTTTTTCTTTTGTCCACTGATTGGAAAGTGCACTGATACCATGATGTATGTCATCCCTATTAGGGAATGCAGAAGCTGGTTGCTAGAGCTCACAGATAGGTTTCTATATAGCAATAAAAAAAAACCCTCAGTTTTCATAATTGAACTTCTGTACTCTTTCTAAAGTTAGAGGTTTTCCTAGTGCACACTTTATTTCTTCCTTCTTTTCTTTACAAGCCCTATTAGTGGCCCTGCAGGAGGCAAGGCCATAGCAAAGAAGTAGTCAAGTTCTTTTCGCTGACATTGTCATCTTGATCTGGACTTCGTGCTCTCTTCTGTGCTTGACAGATACTTATGAATAGGTCTGTTTTTCAGAGGTGCCAGGGATATTTCAGTGATGACCATCTTCCTTAAACAGGACTGTGCATCAAATTCATAGCTAGCCATTTGCTTCTTTTTCAGTTTCTTATAAACATTCGGATTTGCAGTGATGGGTTTTGTTCCATGGAATGCCTTTTGTGGACGAAGCCTAAAATCAGAGATGACTAGGTGCAATTCAGGGATTCTTGCCTCACTCTGTTGCTGGCATAGTAGCCAGACTGAATGACCTTGTGAGCTAATCACACAGGTTTGTGCGAACACCAGTGGTAAAGGACAGAGCAAATAGGCTGAAGTTCCTTGCCGAGATCTTCTCCCTGGGGTGGAAGGACATTTTGTTAATAATTCCTTTCATATCCCTCAAAATTTTAAATCATTCTAGAACCTCAGTATGAGTAAAGGGTATAGAAGCTGTGAAATTGTGTAAATTATGTGAATATTTCTGTTATATCCTTTAAGGTATGATACATATACATATATATGTGCACACACACACACACACACACACACACACACACACACATACACACACACACACACAGTTGCTTGTTGATTCAGCCACAAAGTTATTTTCTTTCTTTTTTAAATAAATTCCCATATTATATTTTTATTAAAATATTTTGAATCAAAATATAACTGAATCACATCCTTCCTTCCGTGTCCTCCCTGTAACCTCTCTCATATCCCCTCCCTCTACCCATCCCATTTCTTCCCTGACTCTTGGAATTGATGTCATTTTTTGATTTTTGTTACATATATATTCATAAATACAGTTGCAGAGTCCACTTAGTGTGGGTTGGCTTTCTATGATACCTGGGCTGTCCACTTTGTATTGGATAACCACTCATCAAGGAAGCTCCTTTTTACAGTGAGCAGAGACCGTCACAGAAAACCACAACAGATCATAGAACTAAAGCAATGGATCTGTGGTGCTCAGCCTTAACTAGATGTATCTGCAGTACCATTCCTACACCCAAAGCTCAGGGAGCACCAAGACAAAGGCGGAGGAAAAATTCTAAAAGCCAAAGGACCGAAACATCTGTTATGGGATTGTCTTCTAGAAATGACAAGAAAGCTACACCCATGACACCTCAACCACATGCCTACTTAAACAGGACCTAAAAATGATAATATAAATAGATGTGCTAACTTGAAAAAAGGATATCTCATGGGGTCCTACCACTAGTCATATGTGTTGGTCCATTCGTTTAATCACAGCAATTGGCAGAGGCAGGAGGCAGGAGGCAGGAGGCAGGAGGCAGATAGACAGAGAGATAGAGGCAAGAGGGTGGATCTCTGAGTTCCAGGCCAGCCTGGACTACATAGCAAGTTCCAGGCCAGCCAGGGCTACCTAGTGAGATTCTGGCTCAGGAAGAAAAACATAACTCAACCCAACCCAAACCAAAGCAAAAAAACCTACAAACAACTAATGACCGCTGAAAGAGGGAAAATTAGCCTCCACTGTGGATGACCCCAAAGTTGTTTTCTTAGCATCCTGTTATATTTTTATCTTTCTTACAACATGCACAATAAAGCATAAAGGCACGAAGCAGAGAGACACAAACAATATAGTCCATCACACATGTCTCATGGAAGGTTAATGGAACTGTGTGAAACCAGCAAGCTTCTGTGAAAAGAAAGAATGAAGTGGTGAGGAAACACATAGAATGAGAGGAACTATGTGCCAGTTATGTAGTCAATGAAAGGCAAGTATCTAAAATAGTTAAGGAATTCATGCAACTTATCAGCAAAATAAAACCAGAGCCCATTTAAAAATGAGCAAAAGAGACATGATTCAGTGGTTAAGAATACTTGCTGCTATTGAAAAGGACTTGAGTTCTTTTACCAGAACCCATATCAGGCAGTTTCCAACCAGCTCCTGCAACTTCAGCCTCAGAGGATCCAACATCCTCTTCTGGCCTCCAAAGGCACTACAGAGAGAGAGAGAGAGAGAGAGAGAGAGAGAATGTTTAAAATAAATGGGAAAGGGAATTAATCCCAGCACTCGGGAGGCAGAGCCAGGTGGATCTCTGTGAGTTCGAGGCCAGCCTGGTCTCCAAAGCAAGTTCCAGGAAAGGCACAAAGCTACACAGAGAAACCCTGTCTGGAAAAACCAAAAATAAATAAATAAATAAATAAATAAATAAATAAATAAATAAATAAATAAATAAATAAATAAAATACACACCCAAAGGAACATAGACAGCAGATATATGAAAAGAATGAAAAGAATGATCAAAACCATTAACCATAAATGCAAATCAAAACAAAAGAGGATATCATCATTCACCTATTAAGTAACAAAAAAGTTACTATATAATCTAGCAATCCCACTTCTAGGTAATATTTATTGAAAATGAAACCAGTATCTCAAAAAGAGATGAATTACCCATGTACACAGAGGATTATTTGGAATAACCAAGCTATACAAACAACACATTTTTTTTTTGTCATATGAAACAGTGGATATATTCAGCTGTAAGAAAGAAGTCCTGACATTTATGACAACATACATGAGCTTGGAAAACACCATGTTACATGAAGCATGCATACATGGTATTGAATTCACAGAAGCAAAAGTGAAGTGTTGGTTTCCAGAGACTGCGGGCTAGTGAGAAATGAGAATGTCTTAGTGAACCGTCATGTATAAAAAGCTGCCTTTGTAGATAACGTAGGAATAGCTTGTTACAATAGGAAACTTAGGGGCTGGGATGATAGCTTGCTTGGTAAAGTGCTTGTTAGGCTAAGCATTAGGACCTGAGCTTCATTCCTCAGACCCCATGTTTGAAAAAAAAAAAACAAAAACCAACAACAACAAGATACGGCAATATGTGCTTGTAATCCCAGATCTGGTAAGGTAGAGACAGGAGACTGGGCTCATGGACCAGCCAGTCTATCCTTGTTGGTGACTCTCAGGACAGGAGGAGACGGTCTCAACAAACAAGGTTGATGGTCCCTGTGGAAGAAGAAAATCCGAGATCGTCCTTTAGCCTCCACATATATCTCATCTGACCACGTGTGCACCTTCACACCACACACCACACACACACACACACACACACACACACACACACACACCACACACACACCACACACCACAACACAACAAGACTTAGAGAAGCTGCATCATCAGTTCATTCCCAGGCAACAACACATGGAAACAGCTTTAGATATCATTCCTTTTGAAGTGATGGAGCGGACATAGAGAGTAGGAGAACTGGGGTGTTGAAATTCTAACTCAGTAAGCCCGAGGACACCGACTTACTTCTAGACAACCCTAGACTAATGAGACAAGATTGGAATGAGAGTATTTCATGGTGCTCGCTGTGGAATTTTCCTCTCTTCCCGACAATTTTACATAAAATTTTGCCATTGCTGGTCATCATCATCATTGTAACTCATGGTTATTAGATTCCTTAGATACATTATTTTTTTCTCCAGCTCCATCCACTTAGAGAATAAACTGATGTCTCTCTAAATCGGGAATATATTAGCAAAAAACCAACAGAGCACCTAGGCATTGTTTTCTGGTTTGCTTCTGAAAATAATTACAAATTCTTCCCTTTTCTGCATCGATGAGGCTGAAAATATATCTAGTACAGTCTTTACAGCAAAGAGAGTGTTTCACAGGTGTGGATAAGAGAGAAGCAGATGATATGCATGACTTTGATCCTTTTGGCTTTATTATTAGTATTTTAGCCTCTTTAAACAGTTTTCCTTCAGATGTCCTGGTTTCTGGAGTTAGTATGCCACGTACGGGAAGAAAGGATTGATAGAGAATTATGAATTTGATTTCATTGGCCTCTCCACTAGAATTATATTCAGTGATTTGGAAGCAATGAGAAAGTCATTTCTAATTATAGAAAAATGTTTATGCTGTAGACAATTGTAATACAATGAATTTAAAAAGTCCTATGAACAGCCACTCCATACAAACATATATCTTTAGACATAATTCCATTTGTGGAAAAACTCTCAACTTCTTACTGTCCACAGGATTGGGCCTTTAGTTTTCTGTGGTTATAAATTTACATCTCACTGACTTTGCTAGTTCATTTAAAAAAAGGTATTCATTTATGTTGGTTACCATAGAAACTAGAAGTGCTCCATTGGCATGTAGCTCTCTGTGTATTTTCTTCTTCCTCCTTGCTTTTGAAGTCTGATAAATTGCTATGTGGCATTTTGTGTAGAATAACCTTTCCTTAAATTAATTTTTCATGAAATAAAGCTCCATAACCTTCAAATGTGTTGCTTTATATTAATCTAAATCCTAATTTTGATGCTTTTTTTTTTTAACAAAAATCCCAACTGATGACATAAAAACAAGTGTTTTCTAAATAAACTAACAATCTTTGGAGTTGATATTGAGTAGGATAAACCAAAACATCGGTAGACCCCTTTAGGGTATAATTATAAATATTGCTTTGATGAGCCAAGGAAAATGTTGTAAACCACATATTTAATTGGGTATATTGGCAGATGTTTTAAGCAGTTAAATAGGATGAAACTATTAATGTCCGTGTGCCCAGCTTTGAGCTGGGTTTGAGGGAATACCAACACTGAGAAATGAAGTCACAATTTGCCTTATCTACAAATGAATATGAATGTAGGGATGATAAAAGCTGTGGGCATTAAATTCTGGACACCATCATTTGAGAAATCTGTCCACATTTCACAACGACCCAACAGACTGATGTGGTACCTTTGTCTCACCTATCCTGCCCACTGCTCTTTGTTCTCCTGCATCTGTTTTGATTTCGGGTTGTTTCTCTTTCTTGTCCAATCCTCCCAGGGCTCTTTAGCAGTCACACACAGCTAAAAAAATACTGGATTCCATATTCATTATAGGATATGAGAATCTAGTTCTCCCTCTGCCACTATCCAACTTCGAGCCTGTGGTCTTGACTAGGTCACTTTACTCTATCTCAGTGTACAAACGCAGTAAACCGAAAGACTGGATGATGGTCTTTAAGACCCGGCTCAGCTCTAGGAAACCAAGTCTGACTCTATTATCCTAGAAAAGCTGCTATGAATCCATTCGTGGCATTCTGAATTCTTAATCTGTGTGAAACACACATGGCCATTCCCCAGGAGTTTCTGGAAGTGACACCATGAGTCACCATAGATAGGACAGTGGGTGGGCTCTCAGCCTTTGTCACATTATGGCTTCAGAATGTTAATGGATGTGGAGAAGTCATGGTTGTGAGGTGTTTTTCAGTACGGCAGGATGTCTGTGAAGTGGCCTTGTGATTGAACCACCAAAGGTCCATACTACCTGCCAGGTAATTTGTGACTTTAACTGGAATACTGTTCTACT